TAATAATAATAATAATAATAATAATAATAATAATAATAATAATAATAATAATAATAATAATAATAATAATAATAATAATAATAATAATAATAATAATAATAATAATAATAATAATAATAATAATAATAATAATAATAGATAGATAGATAGATAGATAGATAGATTTATTGACCATTTTCAATACAGATTGTACATACAGGTCACAAATTCAAGCATTTAAAAAATATAAGGTATAAAGGATATAAAAATGTAAAACATATAAAAGCATATAAAATTATATACCGGTCACATAATACAAATACAAAATGTCAGAGAATATAAAATACAATACAAAGATATAAAAAGTGTAAAAAATTTAAAACCATACAATTTTAAAAATAGATTTACACATCAAACAAAAACTGGTTTATACAGATGAAAAGATTTTATACATTAAAAAAAATCACATATATATTAAAACATAATTAAAATTAACCAATTTTCACATAAAATTCATTAACACTATAAAAACATTCCTCTAGTAAGAAATTTTTTGCCATTTTCTTGAATCTATTTGTACTAAAGGTTTTGATGTCAACTTCCCTGTGATGAGCTTGAAACTTGTTATATAAATTTAGATCCATTTTATTTTGTTTGCCAAGTTTTTGCAATGTCTGGTGTTGTAATTGTGGAAATCTCCATGAGTGTTTAAGGAATTCAAATTATTGTGTACAACCAGCAGACTTTCCAATATATAAACACATGGCAATGGTAAGATTTGTAGCCTTTTAAAGAGCGGTCGACAGTGGGCGTCGTACTCTGCAGCACTAACTATGCGCACCGCTTCTTTTTGTATTAAAAACGCTTTATAGGCATAACTAGCATTACCCCAAAGGACAATTCCATATGTTAAAATACTATGTAGTAGTGCATAGTATATTGTTTTTAGAGCTGGTGTATTAAGAAAATTGCGCATTTGTCTAATAGCAAATACCTGCGAAGACGCCTTTGTGCATAGAACATCAATATGTTTTCCCCAATTTAGGCCGGCGTCCAGTGTTACTCCCAACAATTTAACGGGATTATCTTTCTTTATTGTCTTATTTGATGAAAAGGTGATGCATTGGTTTTTATTTTCATTCAGCATTAACTCGTTTGTATTAAACCAATTCTTTGCTATTGAGATACCTTCAGCATTGGAATGCTTGTTATCTTTCGTTATGATAGTTGTATCGTCGGCAAATAACACAGTAGTCCCGTTATTAATTGTAGAGGGTAGATCATTAATGTAGACCAAGAATAGCAAGGGTCCTAAAATCGATCCCTGAGGAACACCCCTTTGTGAGTTTAAAAGCGAAGACTCGGAATTGTTGAAGCAAACATAGTGTTTTCTATCGGATAAGTAAGATGATAACAGATCTAAAACTTTACCTCGGATCCCGTAATACTCAAGCTTCATAAGAAGTATCTCAAAACTAACGCAGTCGAAGGCTTTAGTAAGATCGCACATAGTTGCAGTAGAGCTAGTACCTTCATCAAGTCCCTCGACCACATCTTCAATCACTTTTAAAAGGGCTTTCACAGTTGATCTATTCTTTCTAAATCCAAACTGAGAGGCCGAAATTATTTTCATGTTTTCAAAATAAGAAGTCAACTTTTCTTTTAGCAATATTTCAAATATTTTACCAATTATAGGGATAATAGCGATGGGCCTATAGTTGTCAGACATACAAGTGTCACCTTTTTTGTGGATTGGTATAACTTTGCTAATTTTTAAGTCATTGGGAAAAACCCCTTCATTAATGCATTTATTGTATAAGACTGTAAGAGGCTGTATTAAAAACTCTGTCGCAATTTGGATAATAATAATAATAATAATAATAATAATAATAATAATAATAATAATAATAATAATAATAATAATAATAATAATAATAATAATAATAATAATAATAATAATAATAATAATAATAATAATAATAATAATAATAATAATAATAATAATAATAATAATAATAATAATAATAATAATAATAATAATAATAATAATAATAATAATAATAATAATAATAATAATAATAATAATAATAATAATAATAATAATAATAATAATAATAATAATAATAATAATAATAATAATAATAATAATAATAATAATAATAATAATAATAATAATAATAATAATAATAATAATAATAATAATAATAATAATAATAATAATAATAATAATAATAATAATAATAATAATAATAATAATAATAATAATAATAATAATAATAATAATAATAATAATAATAATAATAATAATAATAATAATAATAATAATAATAATAATAATAATAATAATAATAATAATAATAATAATAATAATAATAATAATAATAATAATAATAATAATAATAATAATAATAATAATAATAATAATAATAATAATAATAATAATAATAATAATAATAATAATAATAATAATAATAATAATAATAATAATAATAATAATAATAATAATAATAATAATAATAATAATAATAATAATAATAATAATAATAATAATAATAATAATAATAATAATAATAATAATAATAATAATAATAGATATTCGTTTATTGACTATTTTACATATTATACATATATGTTTATGGTCACATTTTTAAAAAAATAGTTTTCATCAGTAAAACACTAAATTAAAACAATACTAAACAACAACAAAAATACTTAAGACATTATGTTTAAAATCTATGGATTAACAGAAACAGAATAATCACAGAACTCTTTAACACTATAAAAGCAATATTTTAACAGAAATTCTTTGGCCATATTTTTAAATGATTTTAGACTCATACCTTTTACATCCTTACTTCTATGTAGATTTATAAATTTATTGTATAGGTTCACATCTATTTTATTTACTTGGGTAGTCTTAATCCTAGAAAATGGAACAACCAGATTTTGCCTGTACCTTGTATCACGACAGTGAATGTCTGAGTGAGTTAAAAATTTGTCCGAGTTTTTATGAACATAAAGAAGTGTTTCCAGAATATAGATACAAGCTACAGGCATAATGGAGTGTTTTGCAAATAGAGGTCTACAGTGAGTGCCATACGGCGCTGCATCAATTATTCGAATAGCTGCTTTTTGAATATGAAAAACTTTAATGGCTTTGGGTGAATTTCCCCATAATAGAATACCGTAGGATAACACACTATGGACCATAGCAAAATAGACCATTCTAATTGTCTTTGTATCCAAACAAGTCTTGAGCTGTCGTATGGCAAATATTTGAGAGGACAGTTTCCCACATAGTTCGTCGATATGATGAGTCCAGTTTAGGCTGGCATTAAAGGTTATACCAAGCATTCGTACTGGTTCCGTTTTTATTGCCCATTTGTCTGATGTGAATTCAATGCTTTGTGTTTTTGTTTCATTAAGTTTAAGGTTATTACAGTTAAACCAAGTTTTTGCTAAATTGAGACCTTCTTGTTTCAAATATTCGCCATTTTTAGACAGGAGAGTAGTATCGTCAGCAAAAAGGATAGAGTTTACACTCCCCAATGACATTGGCAAATCGTTTACATACAGTAAAAATAATATGGGGCCCAAAACTGAGCCCTGTGGAACTCCATTACGTATTGATAGTAAATTTGAGTCAACGTCATTAAGGCTGACAAACTGCATCCTTCCTGTCAGATAGGACTCCAGGAGATCCAGGATGTTGCCCCTTATGCCATAATGTTCCAGTTTCAATAAAAGAGTTTGGACATTTACACAGTCGAAGGCCTTGGTAAGATCGCACATTAACGCGTGTGTTGATTGACCCTCATCAAGACCCTCGACTATGGTGTCCATTATTTCTAGTAGAGCGGTAACTGTTGAACAATTTTTACGGAAACCATACTGAAATTGAGTAAGAATTGATTTACTTTCTAAATAAGATAAAAGTTTCTCTTTAATTATTTGTTCGAAAATTTTTGATATGATAGGCACTATTGCAATTGGTCGAAAGTTGTCGGGTACATCCGTATCTCCCTTTTTGTGGATAGGAATAATTTTTGATATTTTTAAAATATTTGGCCATTTACCCTCGGCCACACAATTATTAATTATATACGTCAATGGTTCAATTAGTGACTCTAATGCACCTTTCATTAATCTACTATTTAGACCATAATAGTCTAAACAGGCGGAATTTTTGAGGTTTAATATAGCTGCTCTCATATCAGATTCGATAATTGGCGGCATAAAAAATGACATTGACATTCTAGGAATTTTATTTAGAAAGTATTTGGGTTCCATATTCTCTATTGGAATTGTTTGGGTTATGATATCTGAAATTGTAGTAAAAAAAGTATTTAGTTCGTCTGGTTTCAGATTAGTTGAGGTTTTTTTCTTCTTTGATGGCAATTCTTTATTGACAATGTTCCATACTACTTTATTTTTATTATCAGCCGATTCAATAATATTTGCATATGCATTACGTTTTTCTTCTTTTATAGCTCGTTTGTAGCTTTTACGGAAGTCGCAATACATATGCCAATCTTGGGGTAAATTAGATGTTTTAAATTTACAGTAACTTTGACGAAGTTCTGTTCTCATTAATCGGAGTCTCTCATTGAACCATTTTACACCTTGTTTTTTAATTTTTAGAATTTGGGTTGGAAAGCAAATGTCGCGTTGCGTACATAGATTTTTAATTAGTAAATCAGTTAATTCGTTTGAATTTAAATTAGGATTAGAAAACATTGACCAATCCAGATTAGAAAGGTTATTTGCAAATTTGGTCACACGATTATCATTCATTATCCTTTTGGATTTTTTATTCAAGGCACTATTTTTACACAGATCGTTCAAATTTTTCACATTTACAAAAACACCACTATGATCCGCTATATGAGATTGATAAACTCCTGTTTCCAGATCATCAGGATTTAAATTCGTTATAATGTTGTCCAAGCATGAACTAGAGGTAGCTGTAACTCTGGTAGGAGATTTAATGTAGTGAATCAAACCGTACAATGTAGTGAATCAAACCGTACATATTGAAAAAATGTTTAATATCTTTGACATGTTCTGTGTTACTTTCCATGTCCAGATTAATATCTCCCAATAGAATACAGTTTTTGTATTTATTAAATAGATGATCAATTAGAGTAAATAACTGTTCTTTAAATATTAACATATCACCATTGCTTGATGATCTGTATATTGTAATTAAAACACAGTTTGTATTAGGGATAATTGCTCCACAGAATTCGGCATGCTGAGGAATACAAAATCTACTTATATTTATTGGCTTAAGCCTAATTATGTTTGCGGCGAAAATCGCTACACCCCCACGTTCTTTATCTTTTCTACAAAAAGAGGAGATTAAGTTATAATTTTTTAATTTAATTTTTTCTAATTTATTAAAAGGGAGCCAGTGTTCTGACAAACATAGAATATCAATTTGATTAGAGTCTAACAATAAATTTAATTCATCAACTTTATTTGTGATACTCTGGACATTTAAGTGTAACACAGAGCATGTTAACAAAATACTTTCTAAACTACTTTGTTGATTGCGGCTCGCTGTGCAACTTCCTAGACGGAAAAAAATTATTTATAATGGTTTTTGCCGGCCATATGTCTGGTACTAAAAGTTCATCAGCTTCTTCGGATGGCACAGTAATTTTAAATGAAGCATATTTCATAGGAAATCTCGCTGTTAATTTTTCCACTTTAGCATTCGGTGCAAACGATTGAAGATATGTATTTAATTCCTCTGTATTAACGTCAACATCAAAATTTGTTGCATGGAATTCTTTAGCGCGATTAGATGTTGCAGCTTTAAATGGACACGATGTTGAGCCTTCATTATTACCTACGAGTAGACACATGTTTTTTCTTTTAAATGATGTATTGCTTCTGCTTGTATTTCTATATGCCTCATTTGTAAGGTTGATTATGTCGTTGCCCACTTTGGAGGCCTTAGCTTCATGAATAGCATAAGAAACCGCTGCGGGTGATATTTTGTTTTTAGAGTCTTCCCAGTTTCCTTTGTGTTCATTTGCAACTGCTTTGGTGACTACATTGTGTGCTTGTGTGGAATTAGTTGCACTAGTTGACAGTTGGTGGTTGTTAGATGAAAGTTTCCTCGATTTCCAGAAATTAGTTGGAGGTGACATCGAAGCAATTGCCGGTTTTGTAAAGTCATCAGGTATCAACTTTCGTAAGAGCGAGTTTTCATTGTTAAGTGCTTCTAAAGCAACTTCCTGATTTGCAATTATCAGGTCTTTTTGCTTCAAAAGCTCCTCTAAATGCTTAATTTTTAAATCTTTTATGGCATCCTGAGAAACCGAATTTACGATGTTGGAAGTAGAACCTTTGTCCTTCATATCGAGAGTTGGTTTTCCTACAGATCCACAACAAATTACGAATTTATCGTCAATGAACTCAACATTTTTTAATTTCTCCAGACAACTTTTATGCGATAGAGTAAAGCAAACAGTACATGTTAATCCAGTCTTTACAACGTTTTTACATCTAGCACAGTTACTTGATAATATCACAATATCCCTCGTCATCTTACTAAATAAAAATAAATCGGATTACTTTAATCCTTCAGTGTAATTGTTCGCACCCGAACTAATTGCTGATAAGACCTGATTTCAATTTCAACGAATGTCCAAAAAACTGGTTTAATTTGTAAACACACGATAGAACTCAGGTTAGAAATGATTTAATATAAGTATAAAATGTACTTTACCGTTTACAGATTTAACAAATATGGATACACAGCATTTAAACACCTAGGATATATAACTATAGTGAATTTAAATTAGCTAAAACCGATCGAAATTAATAAACTTTGTAGAGCGATTTAAACTACGACTGACTTTCAAAAAATCAACTGCACATAATAATAATAATAATAATAATAATAATAATAATAATAATAATAATAATAATAATAATAATAATAATAATAATAATAATAATAATAATAATAATAATAATAATAATAATAATAATAATAATAATAATAATAATAATAATAATAATAATAATAATAATAATAATAATAATAATAATAATAATAATAATAATAATAATAATAATAATAATAATAATAATAATAATAATAATAATAATAATAATAATAATAATAATAATAATAATAATAATAATAATAATAATAATAATAATAATAATAATAATAATAATAATAATAATAATAATAATAATAATAATAATAATAATAATAATAATAATAATAATAATAATAATAATAATAATAATAATAATAATAATAATAATAATAATAATAATAATAATAATAATAATAATAATAATAATAATAATAATAATAATAATAATAATAATAATAATAATAATAATAATAATAATATTATTAATAATAATAATAATAATAATAATAATAATAATAATAATAATAATAATAATAATAATAATAATAATAATAATAATAATGATAATAATAATAATAATAATAATAATAATAATAATAATAATAATAATAATAATAATAATAAATATTTGTCCCTTCCCCTACACAAGTTACTCTGTTGGCTTTAGGGGTTGAAATTCACCTGTAAGAGGGTGAATTAGGGAGAGCATTATTATTATTATTATATTATTATTATTGCAAAAAATCATCAACTTGGTCGTTATTCTAGTCAATGGCTTACATTGAACTAGAGAATTAAAATTTAAAAGTAAAACTGTCACGTAATTTTTGGGTTTATATAGAAAGAAAAGGAGACTCGAGTGAGGACTGACGGCTGGCTAGACTCTCTCCGAGAGAATTCTTGTTTTCGGGACTCGTAAGTCCCGAAACAAAGCAATGTGTAAAGTAAAGTTTTTGTACAGTGATTAGTGAACTATGGATAAACTTATTTTTAAAGTGTTTTGTTCGAGAATAATTAATTGATTTACATATAAATTCCAATTTAACATTTTCGTCCCGAGTATTATATTTATCTTATACATATTTTATATTATTATATAGTTAAAGTTTACAGTGCTCTTTTTAATTGTTAATAAGTCTTAACTACATAAATTATATAATATAATTCAATAGGAAGTTTATCTAGTTGTCATAAACCATAGGTTTTTTTAATTAAAAGTTTGGAAATATTATCAAGTAGTGCTTTATTCGCTAAATATAATTTTAAATATACATTTGTTAATGTTTTAATAAGGGATAATTTTTGTTCATTTAATTTTATTATTTTTATTTGCCACTGGTGAATAGATATTCCTTCTGGACTCTAGGACCCTTTGGCTGGTGACAGTGCTGCCTTAATCCATTAATAGTATATTAACAACAGTAGCTAAAGACCTATCAGTAGTTACAATTTAGGCTAGTTGGTTGTTACACTCCGTTTAATTCTAAATTTGACACCTCCAGTAATCTGCTTTTAAGCATTTCATCTACAACCCCCACTATGATGCAATAAATTATTAGGTCTCCAGTCAAATCACCTAGTTCGCATTCCTTTGCTAGGACCTTTAAAACTGTTACAAATTCGTTAATTCCTTAGCCAGCCTTCTGCTTTTCTGAAAAGAATTTGTACCTGTTACATTCTTGAATGGTTTGTAGTACTGTAATAATTTATCTATGATGTTAACAGTTATGGTATCACCTTTGAGTACTTCTCCTTCTTCATCTACAAAGCGAATGTATTATACAATTCTAAATCAATTTGTCCCAGTACGTAAAGAAGGGTTGCTCGTTGTCGGATCATCAGGGCCGACGAGAGAGGGGGGTGCTGGGACAAATTCCCGGAGTCTGGACACAAGTGGGGGCCCGGCAGCTTTAGGACGTATACAAGATGAGGACTTTTTTTGTTAGAAATGTGGTATTTAAATTTTTTTTATAAAATTGTCGTGGGGCCTCCTCACCTGGAAAATTGTCCCGGGGCCTCACCTGGCTCTTGGCGGCCCTGCGTATCACTGGCTTTCTGTTCAAATTCTCGGCATCAATGAACAACTCAAAACTCTGTCTTCATTTTTCCCAAGACCAGTGTTAAATTGTTCTGGTTGTTTGAACGACAACGTTTTAATTTAGGTGTACTCGTTTCTAACTTTAACATTTTCTTGTTTAGCTATTATTTTTGACGTTTAACAACGTACAACTTTATGTCCACTTGTTCTCCAAGCTGCCACTATATTATGTTTGTATAACTAGGGATTTAGGTTTATTTATACAATGAATAATGTTTCTATTTTAAGTGGTTTAATACTGAATCAACATGTGCTTTGCAAGTTAGTGCAAGAGGAAAGCACTGTGGTCTGTGACATTTGACATACTGCCGATCTGTATTAGTGACAATTGACATTTCGGCGGAAAATCCAAATGTCTGACTATGTAACAGTAATGTTATTACGTTCCCTCAAAACAACATCGCCGAAAGACTTGGCAACGTTTTGGGCTAGCTGGGTATTATCTTTTTTACGTAGCCACAGATGTTACTAGACCTAATCTATGTGATTTTGTTTTTTATCCTTTCATTTTTGTTGTTTTTATTTTGTTTAGAAAAGAAGCATCAACTTAGCAAATACCATCTGTAATAAATAAAATTAGTTTAAAGTTTCGTCAATGGAATATATTCTCTCTATGACAATGATGTATATTTTTTATTAAAAACTTATTTTGACAAATGGAATCATTGTATAATTAGATTAAAAAAATGTAAATAAAGACGTCTTCTATTCCCTTTATATTTTGACCTTCTACGCATTAATTAAAATTATCTTCAATTTATTAGTAACTTATCACATATCGGTCAACAGCTTTGTTATTATACATAATAATTGTGTTATTCATCATTCATAGCATTCGACAGACCAATTTATTCGTGATGTTAAGAAGGTCGACATTTTGGTTTTATAGTTGTTTACATATGGTGTTTACTTATTCTTCAGAAACTCCCATCATCGGGATATTGACCCAGGAAACGTACATTGTCGCCAAATATTTGCCAGAAAACCGCTACAACAGCTTCCTGGCTGCTTCTTATGTTAAATTTTTGGAAGGATCTGGTGCACGAGTCGTACCGGTATGGTAAGTAGGTACCTATCTAATCGTCAAATGCGTGACCTAATAATAGTAGTTTGTGAAAAGTACTTAAAGTGTTTTGCACGTCTTATAGGTATAAAGAGTCAGCCACAAAAAATGTTTCTAAAGTAGGTCATCATCGATAAAGACTTACGAGTCATATCCGTGATAATTTATAGGTTCTGAAACCAATCCAAACTGACAATTGAAAAGAAGAAGAATTTTTCTAAAGTCAACTTTAAAAAGAATTTTTGTGGATTACTAATCCTTATTATATACTTTTTTCTTCAAAATAATCATATATTGGGCTATTAATAGCCCTGTGTATATTAAATATTATTCAAAAACCAATAATTCTGAAAACGTGTCTAGATATTGAAAAACATATTCTGCATCAAAACTAAAATATTATAGTGGATAGAACCCAAATTTTAGAGTTTATTTTTTAAAGAAAATTATAAATAAAGTAGTTATATGTCAAAAAATTATCTTAAATTTTAACCTAACACCAGTGAAATGTAATAAGTAATTTGTAACTATTTAGTTAAATGAAATGTTCTTTTTTAAAAAATATTTATTATGAAATCCATGTAATATTTATAATTTATTAAAGTCATAAATTCAAATCTTTGTGTTAATTTTTGAAAATAGTTTTTTTAACTTAGTAACATTTTTAGTAGCTCGTAGAAAAAATATACTTTATAACTCGTGTGGATTGTCCGTATCTCATTCGGACCAGGGCCGATCCTAAGTTGTCGGCCATTGGTGCAAATACCTAATGTTCCGCCCCTCTAGATAATTTGTCATATTCATATGGAAAGAACTTAAACTTAACGTTGACGTTATGAGTTATTATATCTGTAAAGAGTAAAAAGTAAAACATTAATAAAAATGCAAATAAAATTTGAAGTGCAAAATTTTATAATTTGGCGATAAAATACTTCAACAAAATAATAAACAAAAATATTACATTTTATAATTAGAAATGCAAAACAACTGTATTTATTCAGAAAATATGTTCCAATAAAAAAAGTACTAAAGCAAAAAATCACGTGATACGAAAAGTATATAAATCAGTCCTTCTACAAAGTCTATCTAATTATTAACCATAAAATAACTTTTCTGGCTCTGAAGCAAATTCGTCAATATAATAGTCATATTATTTCTCAAGTAGTTTTTAATAATTTTTAATAATTTTTAATAATTTTTAATAATTTTTAATAATTTTTAATAATTTTTAATAATTTTTAATAATTTTTAATAATTTTTAATAATTTTTAATAATTTTTAATAATTTTTAATAATTTTTAATAATTTTTAATAATTTTTAATAATTTTTAATAATTTTTAATAATTTTTAATAATTTTTAATAATTTTTAATAATTTTTAATAATTTTTAATAATTTTTAATAATTTTTAATAATTTTTAATAATTTTTAATAATTTTTAATAATTTTTAATAATTTTTAATAATTTTTAATAATTTTTAATAATTTTTAATAATTTTTAATAATTTTTAATAATTTTTAATAATTTTTAATAATTTTTAATAATTTTTAATAATTTTTAATAATTTTTAATAATTTTTAATAATTTTTAATAATTTTTAATAATTTTTAATAATTTTTAATAATTTTTAATGATTTTTATTAATTTTTAATAATTTTTAATAATTTTTAATAATTTTTAATAATTTTTAATAATTTTTAATAATTTTTAATAATTTTTAATAATTTTTAATAATTTTTAATAATTTTTAATAATTTTTAATAATTTTTAATAATTTTTAATAATTTTTAATAATTTTTAATAATTTTTAATAATTTTTAATAATTTTTAATAATTTTTAATAATTTTTAATAATTTTTAATAATTTTTAATAATTTTTAATAATTTTTAATAATTTTTAATAATTTTTAATAATTTTTAATAATTTTTAATAATTTTTAATAATTTTTAATAATTTTTAATAATTTTTAATAATTTTTAATAATTTTTAATAATTTTTAATAATTTTTAATAATTTTTAATAATTTTTAATAATTTTTAATAATTTTTAATAATTTTTAATAATTTTTAATAATTTTTAATAATTTTTAATAATTTTTAATAATTTTTAATAATTTTTAATAATTTTTAATAATTTTTAATAATTTTTAATAATTTTTAATAATTTTTAATAATTTTTAATAATTTTTAATAATTTTTAATAATTTTTAATAATTTTTAATAATTTTTAATAATTTTTAATAATTTTTAATAATTTTTAATAATTTTTAATAATTTTTAATAATTTTTAATAATTTTTAATAATTTTTAATAATTTTTAATAATTTTTAATAATTTTTAATAATTTTTAATAATTTTTAATAATTTTTAATAATTTTTAATAATTTTTAATAATTTTTAATAATTTTTAATAATTTTTAATAATTTTTAATAATTTTTAATAATTTTTAATAATTTTTAATAATTTTTAATAATTTTTAATAATTTTTAATAATTTTTAATAATTTTTAATAATTTTTAATAATTTTTAATAATTTTTAATAATTTTTAATAATTTTTAATAATTTTTAATAATTTTTAATAATTTTTAATAATTTTTAATAATTTTTAATAATTTTTAATAATTTTTAATAATTTTTAATAATTTTTAATAATTTTTAATAATTTTTAATAATTTTTAATAATTTTTAATAATTTTTAATAATTTTTAATAATTTTTAATAATTTTTAATAATTTTTAATAATTTTTAATAATTTTTAATAATTTTTAATAATTTTTAATAATTTTTAATAATTTTTAATAATTTTTAATAATTTTTAATAATTTTTAATAATTTTTAATAATTTTTAATAATTTTTAATAATTTTTAATAATTTTTAATAATTTTTAATAATTTTTAATAATTTTTAATAATTTTTAATAATTTTTAATAATTTTTAATTTACTGAAACTTTTTTCACCTGAAGCCACAAAAACAAGTAAAGTTAAAAAATTCTTATTGTTAGAGCAACATTTGGAAAATAGGGAAGATATTATTTTTGTAGAGTCGAAAATTATAGTGTAATATTTGGCTTTTTTTGACAATGCGTATTATCTCATTACGAATAGATTTGCCTAAAATATTAATTATTTCATTTGGAAAATGCTGCCCTAAGTAGTGTGGAATACGTGTTTTGTATTTACTGACTTTATTAAGGTATTCAGAAATAATTGGATCAAATTTGGCCAACACTGCCTTCAAAAATTACCATTATCTCTATGTTACAACTCGTATCAATTCCTCTGAATATCAAATTTTGATTGGCTAAAAATTTTACTACGGCCTACAGCATTATTTCAATGGCGGCGTCAATCTTACAATTTTTTCCAGCCTCGTCTTTATTTCAGACCACGATCTTTTGAATTTACGTGATTTAGAGTATTTTTATGCTTATTAAGGTAATCCGAACAATGGCGCCAATCAGAAATGCGGATGGCACAAAATTTATAGAATTGGAAATTTTGTCTAATAAATATATTTTATCGAATGGCATTTGATCGAAGATATATTTTATCGAATAACATTTTATCGAAAAAACAATAGATCTAAAATTCATTAGATCGAAAAGACAATATATCGAAAAGCAACATTAAAAATAACAAAAATATACAAAAAAATATATAAAAAAAATATAAAAAATATATTAAAAAATATATAAAAAATATATAAATGAATATATAAAAAAATATGTAAAAAATATATAAAAAAATATATAAAAAATATATAAAAAATATATAAAAAAATATATAAAAAAATATATAAATAAATATATAAAAAAATATAAAAATATATATAAAAAAATATATTAAAAAATCAAACGACACTATGCTACCGTTTGTCTAATCCCTATTACTAATTACAAAATTATACAAAATGAAAGAAAATGCGAGGCAACCAGCGATGGCTTTAAGCCGCACAGGTTAGGTAAATTAGTTAGTTTTTTTTATTTTTTATGTATATTTGGTTTTCGATCAATTACTTTTTCTATTAAATCTATTTTCGATCATTGTTCTTTTCGATAATTTTTCTTTTCGATCAATTGTTATTCGGTAAAATGTTTTTCGATCATATGCATTTGATCAAATGTTTTTAATCAAATGTATTCGATCAAATGTTTTTAATCAATTCACTGCCACCCCAAAAGTGCCAGTACTCAGAAGTTGTGTTGTTCTATCTTTACTAAACAATTTACATGCAAAACAAAAAATACGATTTAGTTTTATAGAATAGCAGAGATAAATTTTTAATTTTTATATTATATCCGAAGAGAATAGTAGTTTGTACAACAAGAGTGGACATGGACAAGCCACTAGAGTTGTACAGTATATTTTTTCAACGACCTGAAAACCTACAAAATTTAAAAAATATTTTAGGTTATTAAGGCAAAATAACTAATTTTAAAATTATTTATGACTTTTTCTAATTTCTAAAATAAAATGAACACGACAAAAAAGAGTTAATTTTATTAGTCCCCAGCCGAGATTCGAACTCGGGTCTCTTGCGTGAAAGACAGACACCGCCTCCTCACTTTCACCGTCAGATTTGGGATTTTAGTTCTAATCTAATACTAGTAATTAAATTAGTTTCAAATATAGTTTGATTAAAATTTTAAATTTATTTCAAAATGTGGAAAAAAAAAAGGAATACTATTATTTATCGATTCTACACCACAAAAATAACTCAATTTAATGTATTTAATCTTAATAAGTAAAAAAATATACTGATAATTAGTTTGACAAAATTGTCTCCTTATTTAAAAATAATAGTTGTTGGGTGACCAAAATATGAACTGTGATTGGTGGATTTCATTTTTTTGCAGTGTTCTCACTACCTAGAATGGATATGAAATATATTCGTACAGTCGAAGGCAATAGCATACTTTTTCGTTTTGTAGTCTGTAGATAAGCTAATATCCATGTGGATGTAGAAAAAACGTATTTTAATCTGAATATTTTTTAGGATAGGACAAAATAAAGAATATTACGAAAGAGTAGTGAATTACACAAATGGGTAAGTTTTATGAAAATAAAAATGACTCAAATACGTATTATATATAGGCTGGCCATTTTTATGTGTGTACATCGGGTGGAAAGTGGAAACAACATATTACGAATTAAATTTACTATTCAATGTGGCAGAATATATACTTTATAATTTGAGAGTAGACGTTATTTACAGTTTAACTGGAAGTAATATTTACATTATTTTAACCCTAACCTAACCTAACCCTTCTCACTTAAAATAGTACTGGGTCACGGCATAATAAACAATCGGCAGGCTAACTTGTCTTGGCGGCAACGCTACGCGCACATCTACGCGCACACCGCCATTTTGGGGTCCAACCTCTCAATCAAGCGTGGCATCACTGTCGTCGTTTATATCAACAAAAACAAACAAGTTGCAGTAGCTCGGAATCAGTAGCGTGTATCTTAAATTTATTTTGTTTGTGATGTTTGTATTATGTAGTTATTGTTATTTTTTTAGAATTATAGATATTTTTTGACACTTTTTATATAGTAGTTGTTTTCGAGTGTTAATTTGTTAACTTTTAAGTGTTTTACTATGTCTGGGCAAAGTTGTGCAGCAAAAAACTATATGAATAAACTGTATTAAAAGATTTTTTCGGTTTCTTAAAGATCTTATTTGGTATGTATTGTATACTTTTAAAAAAATCCTAGTTTATGAGTCAGTTTGTCAGTTATAAAGCTATTAGTAAGATGTAGGTAGGTGCCTAGTTAACGTCACGTAAAGTTTAGCGTCAATTTATATTTACTTATGTAGGTATATTATTAAGATTTAAAGTAAAATGTTGCATGCACAAAATATTAATATTTTTTAAGAAAATTTTATTAAATATGCGGATTTTTAATAAAAAAAATGTCTTAAAATTCAACGTTGCGATGTATGTACACAATATGCCTTAACACACGAAGACTTGGATATAAGCTTCATGTATTGTTATTATAAAGCATACAAAAAAAGCAAATAAAGATATTTTTGGCAATTTAAAAATGTCAAATAATAGTTTTGTATGTTTAATAACAAAAATTTAAATAATTTTTCATCACAATTTTGAATTATTTATCACTAAATCCGGCGTTTGTAATTTTTTTTTAGATTTAATTAATTCCAAGATAACATTTGACGCTCCTTGTCCCCGATTTCCATAAATATATGTTATTAAGGGTCGATTCCACCGTTGTGTTAAACGGAGATTAAAATGACATTGTTAATGTAAAAATGTAATTTAAAACTTCGTTTAACACAACGGTGGAATCGGTCCTAAGTTATATTTAAGGCTGCTTATATATTTCACTTTAAAAATATTAATAGAAATTTTAAGACCATCAATAAAAACAAGCTAATTATTTGGCGCAATCTGTGAAGTTTTTTGTTTTAATACGATCCTGCCTATCAATACCTTATTTTATTACAAAATCTTTAAATACGCTTTAATCCTACCCTGACTAAGACCCCCGAATGGCGTCGTCAAGGTCAAATTTTCTTAGTATAATATTTGTATGCGATCAGCGGAGAGTGGGCCTGCCGATTGTTTTTTATGCCGTGACTGGGTCTTCAACAATACCGAAAATTCACGTGACTAAATCGTCATGACAGCGATTGGTGAAAATAAAAGTAAAAATCCCTAAATGTGAGCCAGTGCCGTAGTTATTTTATTACAAAATAGATCTTCTTCTTTTTTTATGGTCTGTAACTGCGAGAACAAAATTCAGTTACAAAATCATAATACTAATTAGAGGTGCTTTACATTATTGTATTTTAATGTCAGAATTCGATATTTTAATTAGATTTAGTCAAATACAATAATTTAATTTTTAAAATTTATATAATTAACATAACCTTAAAAACCGAGCTATTATATCTAGCTTGTATTTAACGAAAAGAATAATAGACTAAAATATGCGTACTAGTTATTGCCACAATTACAAAAAAAACCTTTACCAGAAAGTTATGGACAAAAATGTCATGCGTTAAAATATGAATAAAATTAAAAATTATTTACTTTAGACTGACTCTAAGATATTTAGTTACAGCTGAAACTTTAAATACTGGAATTGTACCTGAGCAATGGGAAGTATTAAACAAATTATTTATTTTTTACAGGGTTTAAACCATTTACAAAATACATTATGTTACTTATATGTATACAAAAAAATATTATTAATTTATTAATATAATTAATGTAACTAGCACATATTTGTTTTACCTTACAACTCTCACTTTAAATTATAAAGGCATACCTATTAACAACTATTTTATTTAAAAGGATATTGAGTAGTAATCGGTGATGCACAAACGATACTAATTCACAATACCTATCTGTTCAAAATCTTTACCACCAGCTTTAATGCAAGCATCAATCGTTCTTTTTTGAACACATTATGCAGTTTCTCCTCAGTTATATTTTGTATTTTATTTAATATAGGTGCTCCAGTTCATAAACGTCACACAAATGATTTTGAATTGAGCGATCTGTAATATTCAAGGTAGGTTTAACAAAATTAAGGTAAAATAATTGTTGCAGTACCAAAACTTTATAGGGGATGCATTATCAGAAATGTTTTCAATACTTTATGGCTAGTTCGTAGCTTCGTAGCGACAAACTTACTCTAAATTACACAAAAATATGATTTACTTTTTTTCTGCTAATCAAGTAGTTTTTACCAATTCGGGTAAGTTACCACATTAGTTAATAATAATAGAGAATTATAATTATCCTTTATTAATCCTTTCAAGGAGAAATTCATAGTGCAATCAATATTTAATTCTAAAAAGGATTATCTTCAATAGCTTGTTTGTGTAAGTTAGTATTTTAGATGCCCTTTATAATATATGTTTATAAGGTTTAAATAAGAAATACCAACGAACTGTAATCATTCTTATTTTGTCTTTGTACGAGTTTACATCATTGTAAAATTTGAAAATGCCGTTACAATTTGTTGACAGCGAAAGAGGTGACAAAATGCTTTTATACAATGGCCATACACATTCTAGAGAAAAAATTTCTGGAGAAAAAGGTATTTGGAAATGTTCTCTATATCATAAATGGAGATGTACCGGTCACATTCATACCATAGGCGATGAAATTGTGAAGAGTACCGAACATAATCATGTGTCAGATAGTGCTGATGCCGAAGTAAGAAGAACTGTTAAAAAAATGAAAGTTTTAGCTGAACAAAGTGGTTCCACTACTCAACAAATCATTGCAAACGTTTCCGAGGATTTATCATCATCGGCTGCAGCCAGATTACCACAAGTGAGTGCAATGAAAAGAACTATTCAACGAAAAAAGGAAAAGACAGAAGGAATTCCTGCGATTCCAAATTCTCTGCTTCAATTAGTTATTCCACAGGAATATACACTGACAAGCAGTGGTCAGTTATTTTTAAGGTACGACAGCGGCCCATCAGAAGATCGAATATTAGGGTTTACAACAGCAAGAAATCTTGACTACATGTTGGAGTGTGAACACTGGTACGGAGATGGAACTTTTTCAACAGCCTCTAATATGTTTTTCCAAATATATACAATCTATGGCGTCAAATATTCAAATACCATTCCAACAGTATATGCAATTCTGCCGAATAAAAGAGAAGAAAGCTATAGACGTTTATATGCAGCATTAAAAAATGTGAAACCTGAACTTTGCCCTACATCTTTTTTAATGGATTTCGAAAAAGCAGCGATGAATGCTACTAAGTGAATTTCCTAATACTCAAATTCGTGGATGCTTTTTTCATTTTCTCAGTGTATATGGAGACAAATCCAGAATACCGGATTTCAGAGGCGATATGTGGATGAAGAAGTGTTTTCATCAAATTTGCGACTTCTGGCTGCACTTGCTTATGTTCCTGAAAACGATGTAGAGAGTGCTTTTGATTTATTATTGGAAAGTGAATTCTATGCAGAAAACGAGGACTTAGCAGATTTAATAAACTATTTTGAAGACACGTGGATTGGTAGATTAGACAGAAGAGGAAGAAGACGGTTACCAAAATTTCCTATATCTTCTTGGAATTGTTACAATGCAGCCAGAGAGGGAATTGCTAGAACCAATAATGCAGTTGAAGGATGGCATAACAGTTTCAGTTCAATTGTTTCCATTGCACATCCCAACATTTGGAGGCTAATTAAGGCTTTACAAAAGGAGGAAAGCCTTAACAAATTGAAAATAGAGCAAATTGTGGCAGGTAATGAAATTACTCAAAAAAAAATTTACAAAGATTCTGCACGTCGTTTAAATTTACCTACAGAATCCTACGACGCTCGTAATACCATGGAATATCTTCGAGGAATTGCGCATAATTTTCGAATGCAAGTCTAAATTATTTAATATTATTATATTATATTAATTCAATTTAAAATGTAATAACTAGCAACTACAATTTTTTATAATATATTTTTTTTCAATATACCTACTTGTTTTTTATTACCTATACTAAAAAATATATAAAATAAAATTTTGATTATAATAAAAAAATAAAATAAACCATAAAATGAATTCTAAAAAATGGCTGGCGACAAATTGTCGTGGCGGTGAATTGTCGTAGCGGTGAATCGTTTTACGATGAAATGTCGGCTCTGAATTTTCGCGCGATGAATTGTCGGGCGATGAATTGACGTAGATCCAATTTTAGAATACAATTACGAATACATTACCTGAAATAAATGATATACAGTCATTAACTTTTACGAGTTACAGTAAATAAATTTGTACTTACCAACAAAAAAGAATTAAACCACCATCTCTAAAAATAACTAATTGCTCTATTAATATTAAATGAAAAATGGAATAAAGGTGTTTATAAAATGTAAACAAATATATTATAAATATTCTCAGTCCCCAAATGAACGCCAGTGACATTTCTGACAGGACTGACAGTTTAGTTCATTTTACGTCAAATCAGGTCCTTTCGATGGGTTTTTGATGGTTATCAGATCACGTGGGTTTCGGGTATTGTTGAAGACCTGGTATATTGTTTTACGAT